AAGTATAGTTACCTTAATTGTAACCCTACTTACTAAGTCCCATGATCCTTTAAGCAGGGGATCTCGGGTCGACGAAGTCTGACCATGAGAATAAAAACCCGAAGCTATCCAGAAAACCCAACACGGCCTGACTAAGGGATATAGCTTAAGTCATAATCTGTATAGCTTAAGGTATATTCCTTAATTGAGGGGTAATTAAGGGATATAGCTTAAGTCATAATCTGTATAACTTAAGGTATATTCTTTAATTGAGGGGCGTATTGGGCTCTCTGGGTACAAACCGGGGGGGGGTTGTGCTGCCGGGAAGAGTCGCGGCTCGTTTCTCATGACCCGGGCTTCGGCTTCAGTTCCTGGGACCATGTGGGCCAGAGTCAAACACATACCTAAACCCCCAAATCTTTGGGGGTTTTGGACCCATAAACCCTAAACCCTAAACCCGTGTTTTTAGGGTAAAATAATGGCCTAAGACCCATAACAGGCCACTATTTTACACACTTTGGGGGTCTAGGTAGCCTTCGAAAGGTAGCAACTCCCTGGTTTAGGGTTTAGGGTTTAGGGCCAGTTACGTGCGGAAACTCCCAAAAACGATCCGCTCTCTGGAAATATTTGGGGGGTCTCCGAAAATAGGGGACCCTAATATAGTACCTTAAATAGTAGGATCCTTATTATAAGGACCTCAAAATAAGGCACCCCCTCTCATTTTCTGAAACTCCCATATTTGCAGACGTCTTTCATGGAGCCTTCTGTAGGGCCGAAGGCCAAAGCTAAGATCTCCACCAGCAAGGCCTCAAGAACCTGAAGCCGAATCCCCATATGATTGCCAACATAAGGATATGGTTTAGGGTTTAGGGTTTTGGGTTTAGGGTTTAGGGTTTAGGGTTTAGGGTTTAGGGTTTAGGGTTTAGGGTTTAGGGTTTAGGGTTTAGGTTCTCAAAATTAGGGTCCCTTTTAGGGTCCTTTTTATAAGGGTGCCGTAGTATATTGGGGACCTGAAAAGGGACCCTAATTTAGAGAACTACCCATATGAGGCAACGAAACAAAAGGTTCCTGCAACGCTATGCCACGAGCAGCCGTGAATAGCACTCAAGCTTACTTCTCCACGTCCCTTGAAAGCTTGCAGGCGGGCGGCACAGCTGAATGGCATGTTTGGTGTGGATGCCTTCCCAGGACATGCGCAGGCTTAGGCTCCCCGACAAGTCTTGCTGGGCCCACATACCTTAAGAACCCAAAACCCACTTTTTTGTAGGTTCTTATTATCAATCCTAATATGGGATTTATAGGGACCCTACAAAAAAAGTAGGTTTTGGGTTCTTCAGGTAAGACATAACTCGCATCTGACGACCTACAGTTGACCAAGCCATGCCCCTCGCTGACATGCCTTCCCGCCCGAAGCAGAGGCCAGATTCCAGAAACCAGAGCCCACTACCTATAGTCTCCATTGTAGTTCCTTTTTCTGGTTTAACCAATTATATATTGAGGATTCTATAAGGTATCCCCAAAAAGGAACTACAATGGAGGCTATAGGTACCCTCTAAACTCTCTCCATCTCTCGACAGTGCGCGTAAATCCGAGGTTTCACAGAAGGCGGGAACTCTTTAAAATAGGGCACCCCTGTTGCAGACCCTCAGCAGCAAGGCGTCTTATAAGGAGCCCAGCCCTGGATTCTGAGAAGAACCAAGTTCTCACTCGGATGTGGTATTAGTGCGGCAGGCAAAGAGCTCTCTCTCTTCTTCTTCCCCCGGGCATGAGGGAC